GCCCCCACGCACACACAAGTCTCTCTCAACATCCCCCAGGAACAAAACATGTGAAGCACACAAAAAAAACCCAACAACAAACAAAAAACAACAACAACAACAACAAAACAAACGAATTTATCGAATCAATCAGAAAAACAAGAACCAACATGGTTAATGAAAAATAGAGAAATTTGTTTGAAGGACGTTTTTGTCTGTTTGTGAAGCTTACCAAATAGCTCGCGGAGAGCTCAGTTGGTATCATGCTAGGCTAAAGAAGTATAGCTCGAATCCTTATATAAGTGTAAGGCTCCTTGGCGTGGATTATTTGTGGAGCTCTCATGGATCGTTAGCGACATAGCTCAGTACTATCGGAGATGGATTTTAAAACTGGTGTTTCAACTTCTTACACGACTCTACTTACTTATGTACTAACTTATTTACTTACTTACTTACTTACTCTCACTCTATATCGTCAGGGACATAAGGCATTGAGGAGTCGACGTCGCGCATGTTTGTCCTTGGCCTCTCCCTCAAATCTTGGCACATCTTGGCCCTAAGTAATTGCCTCTTCTTTGATTGTGCTTCTGTAACTTCTAGTTGATTTTGCTCTTCTCCTTTTTTCCCAGTTGGTCTCCAATACATTGTCTGATAGGGCAATCTTCTCTCTAGCATTCTCAAAACATATTTTCTTAAATGGCAGGAATCGACAGGGGTGATAAATCCAGACCTTGAAATTCACCGAGAACTCTATAGTTAATACAAAATATATGCACGGTAAAACGCCAGTATAACATACCCTCTTCGGACCAGGGGCCGTGCTTGGTTAAGGCCAAAGGCGCCATCCCCCCCCCCCCTCCTCTCTCCCTTCTCTCATTGACTAGTTTGTTAACATTGTACCATAATAGACTACACGTTTTCTAGTTTCGAAACTAAAATCCCTCTAGTACGCGGCCAATGCCCATAACGCAAATCGATCCTCCGTGATGTCGCCAGCTTTTCTAGAAAACGGAAGATAAATTTAGATAGTTCCAGGAAGAATCTAGCGCCTAGCGTGGGTAAAGTTAACATCACAGGACAACTTTCACTATTAATTGCCTGGCAATAAGGTCTACAAAAGGGTAAAAAGGAGGAATAAGGTATTCCCCGGTTTTCTTCTTTTAGTTGGCGCCCGTGGCCAGTTGGCTCCATCTCTTACAAACGGTGGCCGACCTGTCGTATACTATATAGGCGCTTCGCCTGCCCGACAGATGGTCACCCGTGATATTAAAATAATTTTGAACAAATAAAACAGCATCATTGAAGCAATAATTGAATTATTATACTGGGATGGTAAGCATGTTTTGATTAAGCCATTTTATTTGTCCTGGCCCCCACATGTACAGTCGGAAAAGAAAACGAAAGTCCCCAAGTGCCTCGGTTGCCGTTGCAGATGGGTGGCTTTGAATGGCGCCTTCCGGCACCACCCTACCCCACTCTTTCGGACCCCAAACGTTGGACATTTTGGCCCAGGTAAATACCGGGTGTGTAAAAAAAATAAATAGAGGATCCACTTAAACGCAATTTTAATAAAACGTCTGAGAAATCAAATTCAACCATGAGTATGATCAAAAAATTTGTTTATTTGTTCGAAAAATATCAAATTAAAACATTTCAATAAAAATTGAACGAAACGCAAAACAGTTTTTTACTTTGAAACTTCTTAAAAATCAACCATATTGTTCTATTTCAAACAGTCACTTTTTGTGCACTGAAGAACACATTAATACAAAATTGATATTGCTAAATAAACTCAAGGAAGGTGTTCGTTATTAAAATTTCCAGGTGTAGATCATTTCTTTCCACACAAGCTCCAATACGCCCCTGGAACATTTGAATAACCATGTGGCATATTTCTGGGTCGATTCTTTGGACGTTCTGTTCAACATTGAGTTTGAACTGTTCAATTGTTTGTGGGTTATTTTCCTACATTCTGTCAGTCAAAATTCTCAAAGGTAATAACTGAAGGGGCTCAAGTTAGGGGGGGGGGGTGTGGTAACTATTCATTTGTAAATGTTTGGCTTATAGGGCACTCCCCAAACCTTTCTTGCAACCATACGAGGTTCACTCTTGATGTGTGGGTTGTGGCCCCATCCCACCGAAACCAGGCCTGTACAGCATAACACATTCTCACCAAACTTCTATAAAACTTCCCTGGCACGTTTAGATACATGTATCTGTTTCAGGTGACTTGTGGTTTTACCGTCCCTGTCCAGAAACCAGAACTGGCCGATAACACCTCTGTAGCTGAACGCTTGTAAGAAGTAAAACTTTGCGTTTTACCAATTTTCGTTAAAAATTTTAAAAATTTTATATGTTTTAAACACGTTGATTTATTTTCTTCACATTTACAAACTTGATGTCCTCTTAGTTGAATATTATTATTATTATTAATTTTTAACAAAATTGAAGTAACGATGACTGAGTTATTTCCCTTTAAGTGTTTTTTTTTCATTTTAGACACCATGTGGGCCCAAAAATGGCGGCGACAGGAGATGTTATGGAGTAATATTACTATTATAAAGATGGGAGAAATGGCATCTGTGGATACTTGATGGTTTGATTCCAATCATTTTTACCGTTTAGGGTTTCTTGCTTTGTTTTGATTTTCAAATCCAACTGATATAGACAACATGCATACGCAAAAGAAATTTATGATTGTGATCGGGGTGTGAATCATGATGGTGACACCTAATGACTGTGACGTGCAAGTCTATTCGAGAGAGAACGTCAGTCGGGTTCAAACAGGACTGCCCATCCACCAACATAATAATAATAATAATAATAA